TTCATCGCCTCCTTGAAGCAATAAAGCCTTCGATTGTCCAACGAATAGAAGATATCATCTATCAAACAGACATTGATAAGAGAGAAATCTTCTATTCGAACCCTACCATCCACCAGATCATGGATGGTGTTATCAAGGTTGTTGCCCGTCTGGAACACATTACTTATCAATGCCTGACTGTAATGTATCAGGCACGGGTCAACAAAGATCACCACATCTCCCTCCAAAAGATTCAACCGCAACAACAAGAATCTCCATCTAAACAGGAATAGAAGGCCAAAGATCCACACCAAAATCGTCAAAAATAACGACGACAACAGCAACAATATAAATAACATCTACTCAAAAGTATAACTCTTGAACAGAGTTTCTTTAATTTCTATCACTGAAAAATCTTCTTGTTCAACTTGCATTGAGGAAGGTTCAACTTTTTTAATGCCGGTTGAACTAGATGGTTCTTCAACAATCCACTCCTCTTCTTGGTCAAAATCCGACCACACGTTCTCATAAATCTGTTCTTGAGAAAGAATCGATCTGGTCGCAACGTTAGATTTCTTGGTAATTTTAGCAACGAGTTTTTTGAGAGAAGACATTTTTAAATAAAAGAATTTGTAAAGTTGTAAAATTCAGAGTGAATTAAAATGTAATGATAAAATTTTCACGTTTAAATAAACTTTTCAAAGACTTTATTATCGAATAGTTGGTTCTTTATATGAGAATTTTTAAAAGTTTTTCTGAAAAATACAAGCTTCAAAGATCAACTCAGAACGAAACTTCTAAATTCATACCCACAAAATCAATAACATTCATTCTATTAAAATAAAAAATACATAAAAGATTTTTACGTTCTGGTTGATCAAGAATGAACAAAAATATACATTTTCGATCAACCAAAACATAAAAATCTATTAGAAAATAAACTGTCTAGTAAAACTAAATAAAAATAAATTAATCAAAATAATTATTTTTAAAGATTTTTTGATCTTCTAAATATTCATATACAAATTTTTGTATATGCTCAACATTTCGATTCCATTGTTGAGTTTTTATATCAACTTCAGCGGCTTCTCTATGAAGTTGATAATTTTCTTGAATTGTATCATATGTCCACCAGAAAGTAAAACAAAATAAAATAAAAATAATAAAAAATAAAATTTTATAATATAAAACATCGTTTTTTAATGAAACTAATAATAAATTAAACAAGTTAGAATTAATATATTAAGATTATAACAAATAAATTTTAAGATAATTTACCGATAGTTTTATCTAAATTTGAAATTTTTTCAAGAAGTTTAGAAATTTCTTGAGTAATTTCTTCTTGTAAATTTTGAGAAATATGTTCTTGAGACTCTTGAAATTCAAGAGTTTCGGTAGCAAAAGTAGTATTGTTTTGAGTAGACATTTTGTTATTATTTAATGGAATTTCAAATCTTGAAAGATGAATTTCTAATATTAATTGTAAACTATTAAATACTTGAACGAATAGCCTCCTCATATGTAGGAGGTCTATCTGGAGCAATCTCAAAGAACACACTACTTTCAGTAGTATCTGAAAGGGTTTCAGGATAGTGCTCCTCTTGATTTGGAGCAAATCGGCGACCAGAATGAGTAACATGGTGTAGATAAGACATGGTTGCGTCGATCAAGAGAAGGATGTAGATCAGGAAAAGAAGAAACATGCAAATCGTTTTTGGAGATCTGTGAAAGTTGTGAAATTTTTGAAAAAATTTGCGAAAAATTGGGGATTGTTCGTGCTGCAAGACCAGCAATCTTATACCAAAAAATGAACAAAATTGAATGAAACTGCATACGGATATTGTTTGTCATCCCAAAACAAGGATGAATGGAGGGATTGGTGAACGCATGTGGCCTGCATGAAACCGCATGTGAAACCAGAAATAACACGTCATCTCACATGCCTATCGGATAACGGAATCGATTAACCAAATCCGGATGCATCTCCGAATATCCTGAAACAGGAGCATGAAACTAATATTATGCTCCTGATTATACATGCATGACTATGGAAATTCCTAAAGCGGAACTAGCAGATCGTGTCTTGAACCTATAAAAATTTGGGTTACAATCACAATTGATCCTTTCTTGTAGATCATCTCATGATCTCTGAAACCGATACTTCTGCTCCTAATTACACATGCATGACTATGGAAATTCCTAAACGGAACTAGCGGATCGTGTATTGAACCTATAAAAATTTGGGTTGCAATCACAATTGATCGATTAAAATAATCTTTATTGTAGATCATCTCATGATTTATATAAATTTGGAATGGTACAACATACTCCCAATTTAGACTAATTCGTTTCACCTGATTATATATTAATTTGAAACATGAGTTTAATTTCCCAAGCACAACATAACGAACTATTAAAAATGTAATTAATCATGTACAATTCACATTTATTTTATTTATTTGTATATTAATTTATTTGTTTTAGGGAAGAACAATGTAGCGATTCAGAGAAAAGCGATCAGACTTCCTTCACCCAAGATTATGAAAAATACAAAGAAAAGAAAAAAAGAAAGGATAGAAAAAGAAAAGAAGAAAGAAAAGAACGTGAACAAGAAAAAACTTTCTTTAAAGATATGGTAGAAAAAAAAGATCAAATAATGGTACAGTATAGTATTTTATCTTAATTAATAATTTTTTATTTATTATTTTTTTTTTTATTATAGGAAAAAAAAGATGAAAAAATGTATACTTTAATGGTATTTTGTTTTGTTTTTTTTATTTATTTATTTATTTATTTTTTTTCTTTAATAATTTGGTTTAATTTTTTTTAATTATAGGAAAAAAAAGGCATATTATCATTTTTTGTTTAGTGATGCTCTTGCTTCTAACAATCCTTAAAGATTACAATAATTCTATTATGGTGTATATTATTATCATAACCTTGATCTTAGGTTTTTTTAGAGAATCGATTAGCAATTTTTTAAATAATTTCTTAAGCAAATTTAAACATAATTAAATTTATTA